TTGATTGGGGTTGCCGTGACTCTCCTTGGACTGAAGGGTCACCGGCTATTTGAGTCGGGGGTCTTTCACCTGCAGCTGCCCAGACAGCGGGTACAGGCAGCTCAGAGGAGGGATATGCCTGAGGCCCTGGTCGCCTGGGGCAGGGCAGCCAGTGACCATTAACCTCCTCCATTTCCACCCCTGTGAAGGCGGCAGGTCACGTGGCAGAGAGGGGACTTTATCTTGGGCCCCCCAGCCGGGGCCCCAGGGACCTCTGCCACCCAGGCCCATGGCCACCACCTTCGCGCTCCTGGTGGGGGTGCTCTTACACTGCTGGGGTGCACACTCGCTGCACACAAAGGTGAGCCAAAGGGGCTCCGAACCTCCCTCTGCTGGGACGAGGGTAGGGGTAAGGAAAGCCGGAGAGGCAGAGGTGAATCACCCCCAGCTGGGGATTCGTGTGCAGACCGGAAGCTTAGAGCAGGGCAGGGCGTCCCTAAACTGATTTCCAAGCCCAACTTTACAGTTGCCTGGCCGCCTTGGAGGTGAGAAAAATGGCCTGATGACCCTCCCCCCCACACACACACACACACACACACACACACACACAGCCAGCAAGTCTCCTAGAGGAATTCATTTTCCAACATCCCCCTCACACACACACACACACACACACACACACAGAGCAAGTTTTTTTTTTTCCTCCCCCTCCCCACCCCTCGCCCACTGCCTAGTGACCAGACACAAGGACTTTCTTCCCTCTCCCCCTTGCCCTTCCCCTTTCTGCCCACCCCATTACTAAAAGGACATCTGGCAGTGTTTGCCACCCCTGCTAGGGTGGCACAAGAACCTTTCAGGCCCAGGCAAGGAGGGCAGAGGGAAGGGTCTACTTCCTCCTCCTCTCCCTCACACCCTATGTCCTGCTGGGGAAGTGCCCACGGGGGTGGGGGATGGAGCCCCGGGGTGACAGTCTCAGGGCCATGCCTCTTGGACACCTGAAGGGGTTTTTTGGCAATGCCTAGAACCCTCCAGAACCCTCTCACACAGCCAAAGAGCTGGTGCCTCAGTGGGTGTCACCAGCCTGGCAGACAGCCTGCCTGTCCCCACAGAATGACAGGGACAGGTGCTTCCACCACTCCGAGTGCCGTAGTGACTGCTGCCTCATGGACTTGGACGTGGGGGGAGCCTTCTGTGCCCCCAAGGGCAGGATAACCATGGCCTGCTTGCCCCAGGTGAGGCTCTGGGGTGGGCAGCTCCTGGCAAGTAGGGCAGGGGTGGGGAGAAGCTGACCCACACCCACTGGCCTCTCCTGCTTTGTGCTCGCTGCCTGGGATGTCCTTCCCCGTCCCCACCTGGGGAACTCCTACTCACCCTGCAGTACAGCCCCGCAGCTCCCGCAGCTCCTCCGAGACAGCTCCCGGGCTCACACCGTGGGCAGTGCCGGCGCCTCCCTGGTTTCCCAGGCCTTCTGTCGGCCTCCTGTAGCGGCTGGAGCTCTCCCGGGGCAAAGGCCCCGCCATGCCTATCTGGGAAGCTCCTACCCCCGCTTAGTGCCTCTACACAGGGTACTCCCCAGATGGTTGCTGGATGAATGCTCTAACCTAAGGTCACTGAGACCTCGCCAGCCAACCCCTCTCCCTGCTGCTATGAGCCCATTTCCAGCGTGGGGCTGAGCGTGAGTTTAAACCCCGGCTTCTCCGTCCCGTCTTTGTGACCTCAGACAAGTCACCCCCATTCTGTCGTTTTCTCATCTGCACTATGGGGCTGGAGAACGCACCCCGCAGGCTGTTGAGAAGGCCGGTGCTCAGTCAGGCATGGTTGTCATGACCCGGTACCTGCCCCGGGCTGGACACCTCACGCCCTGGCCCTGGGCCCAGACCTTTAAGGAAGGATGGGCCTGGCCTCCGTGTTCTTGCTTGGGAAGCTGCCAGTGCCCCCTGGGGAGCCAGCTGGGCCCTTCCGTGGCTGAGCCCACAGCTGAAGTGGCTAGCAGGTCGTTTCATTCTGAGCATTTGCTCTGCTTTGTCTCATTTAATCCTCACAAGCCCAGAGGTGGGGTGCTGTGACCACCCTCCCCTGGCGGTGTGGCTCGCTGTCTTGCCTGAGGTCACACAGGAAAGCTGCCGAGCAGCAGGCCCCAGGGCTGCCTCGCTCCACGCTGTCCTCTTGCTCCCGCTTCCCGGGGAGTGTGCGCCCCCTCCCTCCTGCATCCTGGTGACCCTGCTCTCGCACCCACTCCCTGCAGACCAAGGGAGCCACCAACATCATCTGCCCCTGCCGAATAGGCCTGACTTGCACGTCCAAGGACCAGATGTGTCCCCGCCGGTGCCATATGATTTAGAGGAGGCCTCAGTCTGCCCCGACCTGGGCCACAGGCCTGGGCACCCCCAGCTTGCTCCAAACCCAGTTCCGGACATATTAAAGTCACTTCCTCGCTCTGGCCTCTGTCTGCTCTTTCTGGGAGAGGGGCCCTGCTGGGATTGTTCCAGTCTGGGGGCTGGCGGCTGTGGGGACTGGAGACCTGAAGGGCTCTCAAGGGGTTGCCCCGTCTGAGCCAGGAGGGCCTCAGGGTGGAACAGGAAAGGCCTGCGGGAGGGGGAGGGGAAGGGTGGGTCCAGGAAGGGCCACTCCTAGGAGGGGCCTGTGTGTGGGGGGGAGCATGGCTCAGGAATGTGCCTGCAGTGTATGTTGGGGGCCAGGGATGGGCCGTGGTGGGAGGGACTGAGTGCGGTATGTGGAGGTTTGTGTGGGAGCCAAAGAGCAGAGTCTGGGAGAGGGTTGGTGAGGACGTGCAGACAAGCGTAAATGCAAAAACAGGTGTGCCTGGGGGGGCAGGGCATCTCTACTCTCAGGTGCTGCCAGTTCATTTTGAGCTGAAGAAACTGAAGCCAGAGGAGCTGCAGGGTTTGCCCTAGGTCATGTCTCAGGCTGTCAGAGATGATGAGGGGGTTTACTGGTGGTCAGAAATGGAAGTTCAGAGACAAGGGTAGGCCTCAGGTCTGGCTGAATCCAGCTGCTGCTGCATGGCCCTCAGGCAGAATTCCTTCCTGATAGGCCAGAGCTGCAGAAGTTCTGGATGTTGTCATCTGACAGTAACTGCTAAGAGTTACTCGGCACTGGGACCGCAGGTGGCATGGTGGTTAAGGGTGCTGGACTCTCACATGGCTGCCAAGGTTCATGTCCCAGACCTGGTGGCTTGCTTTCTCACTTTCCCCCTCTCTCTGTCTTTTTCTCCATCCCTCTCTGGTCAAATTTAAATACATGAATAAAAATAAATAAAATAAAGTTAAATAACTTTTTTTTTTGGAGAGGTTTTCGCTATAGGGAGCGTGCGCTCGCCAGACAGACACAGAGAGACAGAGAGACAGAAAGCGAGAAATCACCCCCAGGGGGGATGGTCACGCTGCAATCTCTTCTCCTTCGGGATCTTGGGCACGCACGCACACGCCCCTGGTGTGCGTTTAAGCCACTGGGTCCGGGACGCGAACCGCGGTCGACTACGTGGGAGTCCAGCGACATAGCCATTACGCTAACTGCTGGTTCCCATTTAAATAATTCTTAAAAAAAAAAGGTCGAGCACTTACCTGTTGTTCCAGACACTGACTCATCTTATTGTCACAGGCGCTGCGACCTATAAAAGCGCAACACCCAAGCCTGTACGGTCTGTGGTACTTGGCAATGATAAGAAATGACAGTAGCACTGGTTTATGTATTTACTTTACTATATTCTTATCATTATTTTATTTTATATTCTTGATTGTCATAGGGTGCACATGCTCACCAGAGAGAGGAAGAGGGTACCAAGGGGAGGAGGAAAGCTCCCCACAAGGGGCATGGCCACACCACAGTCCCTTGTCCACTCCACCCTGTCAAGATTTGGGGCACTCACACACATGCATCCAGTGTGTTTTTCAAGCCACCAGGGCTGAGACTTGAACCAAGGTTGGCCATATCACTAGGCCATGGAGCTGTCCTTTTTTTTAGTTTTTTTTCCCCCCATAGTCACATGCACTCATAGGAGAAACAGAGAGAGGAAAAGTGAGAAATGATTCCCCCAGAGGATGGCCATGTTGCAATCCCTTCCCTCCTGGGATTTTGGGCATGCACGCACATGCACCCGGTGTGATTTTTTTTTTTTTTTGGAGAGATTTTCACTGTAGGGCACGTGCGCTCGCCAGACAGACAGAGAGAGACATAGAGACAGAAAGCGAGAAATCACCCCCCAGGGGGGATGGTCACGCCGCAATCCCTTCTCCTCCATTCTCCTCTTGGGATCTTGGGCATGCACGCACATGCGCCCGGTGTGAGTTTTTTAAGCCACCGGGTCCGGGACACGAACCACGGTCAACTACGTGGGAGTCCAGCGACATAGCCATTACGCTAACTGCTGGTTCCCCACCCGGTGTGATTTTTAAAGTCAGCAGGTCCGGGGCTGTAGAACCGTAGTCGGCCATGTGGGAATGCGGAGCTTGACCACCATGCCACCTGCTGGCCCTGGAGCTGTCCCCTTCTAATTGTTATTTCAGAGTGTACTCACTCCTTCCACTTATATTTTTAAAAAGGTGACTGTAAAACATGTGCCCTTGTAGCCAGCAGAAGCCTCAGACATTTTGCACCTTTTTTTTTTTAAATTTAATTGTCAGAGAGAGTGTGCACCCCAATGGGGTGTGATCGGGCTGCGGTCCTTTTTCCTCCAGTTCTCCCTCCTGTCAGGATTTGGGCACATGTGCACCAACATCCTGTCTGTTTCCAAGCACCAGGGCTGGAACGCAAACTGTGGCTGGCCACGTGGTATCTCGCTCCCCACGCACTGCCCTAAGCACCACACTATGGCCCCGGCATGCCTCTTTTTATTTTTTTTTCTTTTACTATGTAGAGGCCCTTTGTTATTTCTTTTATAATTTTTTAAATTTTCAGAGAGCATGTGCACTTGCTAGAGAGAGAAACAGAGACAGAGAGAGAGAGGGAGAAAGCACCCCTCTCCCCAAATGGGGCACAATCCCACCACAATCCTTTCTCCATTTCTCCTTCCTGTCAGGATGTTGGGTGCACACACACACACACACACACACACACACACACACACGCCTAGCATATTTGCAAGCCTCTGGGCCTGGGATCGAACTGTGGTTGACCATGAGGGATCTGGCTTTCCTTACCCACTAGGCTACAGGTCCGACTCACTTGTATTCCTCTTGATTGCCTCGTTTTCTTCTGGGTTTCATATAATCTCATGGTGTTTTAAATTTTAAAAATATTTATTTATTTCTAGCATGAGAGAAACAGAGCTAGCATGAAAAAAACAGAGCCAGCCCCCCCCCCCCGGTCATCAAGCTACCGTCCACCCCGTCTCAGCTGGCTTAGGTCATGGGCACTCAGGTAAACACCTAGGATTCTCAGGGGGTCCCAGGATGTGAACCCAGGCCTTTCCGACACGCGCCCAGCTGTGTTACTGTGGTGCCACTGTCTGATTCCAGCCTCATGGTGCTTTGTGTATCTTGGCCCCTAACTATACAAAATCCATTAAAAAAAATGTTTTTTTAACTTGACCAGAGAGACAGAGAGAGAGAAAGGGAAAATGAGAAAGCAAGCCGCCAGGTCTGGGACTCAAACCATGGTCGACTAGGTGGTAATCTAACCCTTTAACCACCATACCACCTGCTGGCCCCAAAATCCACTGTAATGTTGCCAGTAAGAGGCCACATTGGGTGACTGACCTGGAAGTGAAATTGAAAGTGATTAAGGGGCCAGCAGGTGGCGAGCCAGTTGGGGAGCTCGGTTCCCACATGGCTGACCACGTTTTGAGTCCTGACCCGGTGGCTTGCTTTCTCACTCCACCTTCACCCCCCCATCTCTCCCTGGTGAATGCGCGTGCCCTTTAGCAAACTTAAAATAATAATAATATAAATAAAATAAATACATAATTTTTGTAAAAGAAAGTGTTTAAGGAGCCCACAGATGGTGTGATGGTTAAGGCCCTGGATTCCCACATGGCCCACCATGGTTCGAGTCCCTGCCAAACCAGGCAGTTTGAAAAATCATGCTGGATATGTGTGTGCACATGCCCAGAATCCCACGAGGAGAATGGAGTGTTGTAGTCTACTCAGCGAGAAATGAGAGGACAGCCAGACGCAGCCAAGTTTATTGGAGTTTATTGGTTAAGCTGGCGGCATACGGGGGACTCGTGTCTCTCAAAACCCCGCAGCCCCGAGTGAAAGGACAAAGGAGCTTATATAGGCCAAAAACGCACAGGTGTTTTACAAGGGCAAAGGAACAAAGTGAAGGGGCGTCAGGAGACATGGGGGAGGGATTTCATCTTCAAAGCAAAAACGCCAGTTACAGAAGCAAAGCAAGCAGGTTAATTAGTCTCAAGGGTAAGTTCTGATTACAGTGGAATTTTCATGGCTTCCCTGGTTCCGGTCAAGGTTCTTGAGGCACCTGGGAGTGGGATCTTATCTGCACTCATGGGAACAGCGTGAAGGAGGCACAGTTTCTAAGATGGAAGCACCCTTTCAAAATGGAGTCACGCTTGCTTCGTTCCCCACTTCTCTTGGAGGCGCTTCCCCAAGATGGGGTCATGCCCGCTTCAGGAGGAGAAGACTATGGCTGGGCCATCCCCCTGGGGAGGGGAGGGGCAATTTCCCACTCTCCCTCTTCCTGTCTCTTTCCAGCAAGAGCACATGTCCTATGGCAAAAACCTTGGGAAAATAGTGTGCGAAGGACTGGAACTGTGAAGGGGAAATCCATGGTGGTCATTGGTGTTAATGGAACCAGTCAGGTGCGGCCCATTCCACCATACCGCGATCTTGGGGAATGAAAGCAATGTGAAGGGAGTCGTTACAGGATGTGCTCCATGGAAGGTAATGAGACTAACTGAAATTTGAGAAGATTTCAACCGTGGAGAAATTTCTAATGACCTGGATTGAAGACCAGAGGCGGAAGTGTACGCCTCTCAACACCATAATCATGGCCAAAGCAAATAGTTTGCATGTGAAATTGAAAGAGGTCAATCTGAACGGGGATATATTAGCAGAGAGCTGGATTCCAAGTAGCTGCCTGACCCTTTTCTCACGTCATAAAAACTCAGATACCTAACCCGAAGCTGCTAAAGAAAGGGACAAACATGGGACCAGCAGATGGTGTAATGATTATGTCCCTGGGCTCCCATGTAGTCGACCACAGTTCGAGTCCCCGACCCAACAGCTTAAATCTCACTCCAGGTGTGTGTGCACGCATGCCCCAAATCCTGAGAGATGAATGGAGGAGAAGAAATTGCGGTGTGGCCATCCTCCTAGGGGGTGAGTTCTCGCTTTCTGTCTTTCTGCCTCTGGATGGCGAGCACACACACCCTTTAGCAAAAATCTCTCTTAAAAAAGAAAGGAAAGAGGCCAGACCTGACTATAATGCTAGCTCTGGGTAGTTGAGTCGATA